GGGGGGGTGGGGGGGCGGGGGGAGGGGGTTGTTACCTGGAAGATGAAGCTGCTCCAGTTGCCGGGATCCATGGCGGAGGGAGGGAGGGAGGTGGCTCGCGCTCACCCTGGGGCGGGAGGAGGAGGAGGCGGTAGTGGGGGAGGGGGAACCCAGGGAGGAGGCGCGCGGGGCGGGCGGGAGGGGGGAAGGAGGAGGAGGGTGGGGGGAGCGGAGCACACAGCGCGCGGGGAGGGCGGGCGGGGGGCGCGAGGACACACAAGAGGCTGGAGCGGGCGCGAGCGCGAGCGCGCGCGAGGCCAGCGGGAGGGGGGAGGTACGAGAGGGACACTGGCGGGAGGAGGGACGGGGGAGCCACCCAGCAGCCCGAGTCGCCCCAAGCGCGAGACCCCTGAGACGGCCGCTGATTGGCTGACGATGGCGCAGGTGGTGGGCGCGCGGAAGACAGGGCGGCTTCTCTCTTCCCCCCCCCCTTCAAAGATTTCACCCCCCTCCTCTCTCCGCCCGCGGCCGTTATTTCGCGCGCACGCGCATAAAACCGCTGTCGTTGCTGAGCGGGAGAACAGGGGAGCGCGCGCCGGGGGTACTGATGGGGCGGGGCTAAACTCGAAGCGCGCGCCCGCCTAACGGTCGTTGTCCTCAGGCTTTCGCGTTACTTTTTTGCTTCCTTTCGGCCACCGTCCCTTCCCCCTCCCCACTCCAGCGGTTTATTTACAATCCTGCCCCGCTTCATTCCTGCCTGCTTTTCCCAAAGATGGCGCCCGAAGTTCCGCGGAGGAGCTTGCGGCCCATCCCAAGGGCAATTATGCCCCCGGCCCCGTCCCCGCAGTCCCAAGAATCAGGCTGAAACACCAGAGTAAAAATTGTATTTACATGACACGCAGTTATATGAGGATTTAAAGAACAAAACAAAAACATGGCACAGGAAGGAAAGGAGCTGGCAGTCAGGAGGGGCCTCAGCGCTGGCTCGCGGCAAGACCCAAGATGTTCGCCTGCAAGACAGGAGGGAAGGGGAGAGCAGCGTTAAAGCTGGGGGCAGGGCACAGGCCGGAGAGGAGGGGGCCAAGCTGTGGGCTCACCTTCAGGAATGACTCCATCTGTTTCCCGGATATGCCCTCCACGCGTTCCAGGTCCTCCACCTGGAGAGATGACAGCGATGGGAAGGGGCTTCTCCCCTCCTGCCCCACCCCTCAGCTCCATTCCAGGGCCATTCTCCCTGGGCCATTACCTGGCTGAAGGGGCCATGGAGCTCCCTCCAGCCCACGATGAGCTGGGCCTTCTTTTGGCCAATGCGCTGCAGGCTGCGCAGATCCCGGGCAGAGCCTTCATTCAGCAGATCTAATATTTTTTGGCGCCCATGAGCCAGTAGCTCTGGGCTGATCTGTAGCTCCCAGCAGTCCTCAGCCTTCTCCTCTGACTCTGAAGCATCCAGGGACTCCAGCTATGAGGCAGGGGGAGGTGAGTGACAGAAACAGAGTTTGCTATTCAGCCCATGGCAGCAAACTGCTTTAGACTCCTCTGCCAAAGATAGGAGCCTAACAGCAGCTATCTCCCCGCCCTCCCTAGCCTCTCTTTCCCTCAAGTGTCTGTCCACAAACCCTTCTCTCCAGTCAGTTACTGGGCGGATTCTCATTTTGCCCAATTTGTGAAAGAGTGTTGTGAAGATCAAATGGGTTAAGGAACGTAAAGCATATAGTAAGCTCTTAAATCTGCCTCATCTCTAAAAAGGAACGAATAAGCTCTCTTTCATTCCTAGGAAAGTACACAGAAGGTACTCTGTAAATGACAGCCATGCCCCCCACCCCATCCTCTGTTTTTAGGTAATTCTTCCAGTGTTGTTTCATTTCTTGAGTGCTTAGGTCACGTTTCCCTGGGTGTACTCTTCAGTTTGTGGAGTGGGACTCAGGCTACTGTACCTAGTAAGTGGCTGCTGAGGGTGAGAGCCACCAAAGAGAAAGGGAAGTAACAGGTGACAGATACCCTCTCTGCTATTCATTGGAAATGCCCTGAGAGGTATCTCCTTCACATTCCAAGGGTAAGCAACTTGTAAATAGCTGGTGTTTTAACTCCATGGCCAGTGCTCTTCCCCTTAGAGTTCACTACCCTTATTTCTCCACTCCATCTGTAGCTCCAGCTGCCAGCTGCACTCACCTTTCTCTTCCGGCCTTTCTTCTTCAGGATGTGGATCTCAGCATTTGGGGATGCTGCCTGCTCCTGAACTAAAGGCAAGAATTGTGACCCAGAATCATGGCAGAGGTTACTTTTTGCCCTCCCTTACTTGGGTCTTCTATTCCTGATTCCCCGGTTCCCCTCCAGCCCAAGTGAACCTCTTCTTTTGTGGTTCCCACAGAACTTTTCTCACACCTGTATCTGCCAATAGTCTCAGCTGCTACTGCATGGTACTCAGTCATGGCCCGGTCAGTCAGCCCTGACCGTACTAAGTGCCTGAGCACATAGCACCAGGGCCCTATTTCAGATGGTCCTCACAACCACCCCCTGCCTTCCCCAGGGTTGCAGTATGGTGGGAGTGCATGAATGACATGATGAAAGCTGCTCTGAACACCTCCCACCTTTCCAGGATCTGTCATCTGGGCCCTCCTGGCTCCCACAGCCAAACTTACTCAGTTGTAAGGGCATCACCACAGCCTTTTTGAGGGGCTTTGCTACAGTGACTGTGCGGCGGGCAAGCGGTCGGAGCATTGTGGGAGACGAGTTCTCTTTATCCTTTGGGTCCACAGCCTCCTGGGCCAGAACCTTGGCTTCCAGTTCTTTTTGCTTCATCTTAAGCCTCTGTTGGAAAGGATCAGAGAGACATGTGACCCAGAACAAACTTTTGGGCAGCTTGAAGGAGGTGGGTTAGGAAAGTGAGTGCAGGGTTCTGAGCCCCTTGCTGGCAGGGCGAGGACCAAGGAGAGAAGCTGCCGGGACACAACTGGAGCCCAGTATAATTAAGGGCTTTCTGATGATCAGGGATGCTCAGAAGTGGAACAGGACCCTTTGTGAAACACTGAAGGGAAGGGACTATTAAGGCATAAAGTCCTAACTTAATTTGAACTGGGTTTTGGGAAATGACAAGGTCTTACATTAGTTTCTTTCGCCTGGATGTCCACCCCTCACCTCCTCAGAGCTGACCTCAGTTGTTTTTCAAAGTCCCACCACATTAAGGACATTCAAGCAGAAGCCGGGGACAAAGGGTTCCAGTGTTAGGCTAAAAACTAAATGCTGGTGCAAGTTTCTGCTGCCTTTCCCTGTCTGAAGGTGCTCAGATGGCTTCTCTAGGCCTGTAGGAATCCCAGCCCCCATATCCCCCACACTTACCTCAATCTCCAAATCCTTCTCCTCCATTGTCTTCATGAGCACCATCCGCTCTCGCCTTGGGGTGTTCAGCCCATGGGTCCCCTGGCTCCCCTGGGAGCCCAGCAGACGGTCCAAGCTTAGGAGGCGCTCCAGCACAGCGGGGTCCATGCTACTTAGCTTCTGTAGGGGGCTGAGCAGACAAAGGTTACTCTGCACCTGGCCCATCTCTCATCACCCTCTCTGCAGCAGCAGGATTCCCCTCATGATGCCTTCTATTGCTATATTCGAGGGGTCCACACTCTGGTATAAACTTGCTGGGCAACCCTGAGCAAGTCAACCAGACTCTCCAGGTGCTGGGCTTCAGCAGGTGAATGCGGCTCCATCACTACTTGCCCAGGTCACCTCTCAGGGTGCCAGGAGATCTGACAGGAACAAGTGCTTTGTGCACACCTGAGTTCCAAGCCTTCAGGCTCTTAAGACACTGCCCCACCCTGCCCTGCAGGCACTTGGTGTCATCACAGAAGGCGGAGACTGTGAGGTGACAGCAAGGATTGTGAATCGCCGTTGGGGAAAGATTCACAGTGGAGGTCATCTTCAGCAGGGCTTTGAAAGCCACTGGGGACCAAATGCCAAGCCTTCTTCCCATGGGCAGTAGGAAAGGCCTCTTGGAGCTGAGTCCTGACTTAATCTGAGCATGACAATGCCTAACATTTGTTCCTTCTGTCTAGAATTGTTTCTCTCCCAATTATCATTCAAAGTCAATTGGACACCACCTTTCCCATGAAACCCAACTTGACTATGTAACTTCCTTCCTGTACTGTGAAGCTCCTCAAGGACAGGGACTGCCCTGTTCCTTGGGCCCAAGGGCCTAGGAAGAGCAGAATCAGAAAATCTGGGTGAACACCAGAGGTCATTCCTTCCTGGCTCTCACAGAAGCAGCGAGTCCTTCCTCACCGCACCCTGTCCGACCTACTCTGCATCATCTGATGTTCCCCTCTTCTCTCCTTTCCTGAAACCTGAGCCCCTGAGGTCAGGGTCTGACCAGGGCTGATGGGCCCCGTCTCTGGGCTTACCCGGGGTACCTGTCTGGCAGAGACTTTGCTGTTCACATGTAACACACGTCTGCAAGGATGTATATTTCTCTGAATTTATGCACTGCTGACAGGTAGCTTGAGAGGACAAGATTGAGACGGGGTTCTAAGCAAACACCATTTCCTGTATGCCATCCAGCCTCAACTGTAGCAGCTCCCCCACCCCCCCGCCATTCTAGGGAGGCAACTGCAGTCTTACTTTTGCCGGGTTTCTACCCAAGCCCAAATAAAGCTTCTCTAAACTGTCTAAGTCTGAAGACTAGTGAACAAAGGTGACCTCAGGGGGTCAAGGATTAGTACCTATTCTGCCCCCAACTGCTCTGGTGGCCAGACAAAGCAAGACCCTAAATAGCAGTGACCTAAGGATTTGTGCATCCAGGGCCATGCGGTGGGGCCATCAGAACCAGAGAGAGAGGCCACGCACACACACACAGAAGGGTCTAAGTTGAGAGACTTTGGATAGAGGTTAGAATCAAAGTTAGGACAGCAACGGGTTCCTTGCAGAGTCATGGAGACGCTGGACTCTAATGCATAGACTGAGAGGTCTCAGGGAGACAGAGCTCTTCATCTCTTTTCTCTTTGCTTTGCTCTTATCCTCTAGACATAAAAGGCCTGATCCAGGTTACTCCTTGAGTCAGAAGTTAAAGTGCTCATCCTTGAAACAGCTGCTTCCAAATGTGAGGTTTTGCTGACTGCCTGAAGAAGGGGTTGGAAAGTGGAAAGGGAGGGGTCGGGAGCTCCAGGAGGAGGCTTCCTTCAGGCCCCAGACGG